TGAGCTGTTGCTCTGCTCCGCCCAAGGTTTTGTGGATACAATGGAAAGACAGGGAAGTCCTGCTTGGAGTAATTTCTGCACCTTGGAGCTACCTCTTCCCAGAATGCGCAAGAGCCTCTCTGTAATTCCCTTGCAGCCCTAGGCAGGTGCCCCACATCCGCTGCATCCCTTCCCAGGGCGTTCAGTGAAGACTGGTTTCAAGTTCAGAGTCAGCATCCTCAGCATGTTTAATGTAAGACTTCTTGAGGTCTCTGCAAAGGAAGGAATAGATCTTCAGTGATTAGAGTTGCTGGCTGATCCAGCTTGTTCCCTCTCCATCACTGCCAGGATCTCAGCCGGAAGCATGGAGAAGTCATTTTCGAAAGCATTCAGTGCCCTGTCCTCTGCCATGAGACTTTCGGGCTCATCACTTCAGATATAGTTTCAAACTGAAATATGACTCGTTGGAAAAATTAGGTTTGGATTTGCTAATGCATCAGCAACCCTTTCTTTTTAAACCCTGCAAAAACCTGAGTGCAGGATGTGGCTTTGGGAATAATAACATTAAACCCAAGTCCTAGACAGTAACAACTTGTTTTGCTTTCAGTGCCGGTGGTTGTTTGAAAACACACCACATAGTTTCAAAGCCAGGGTAATATATACTATATTTTCGCCTCATGATTGCTATTGTGTTTTTGCAATAGTAATATGCATACCAGATTTTCTCTTTTGCTACTTGAAAAATTCTCACTGCTTACAGGAGACATCAGTTTACGGACTATTTTCTTGGTGCTTAAGTAATTTAGGGAAACCAAGCCCCCATTTTAAAGTGACTAAGGCACCCGGGAATCCTCAGCCCTTTCAATAAGTATTTTATGTGCTGCCAGCTGTGGGTGGGCTCATAACATGGGTAGGTGCCCCCTCCTTAGGACTAAATTTGCCAGCCAGGTAATAGCAGCAAAGAAGCAGGACCGAGTTGTGCACAGTTTACTCAGGGAGCAAACGCACATATTTAGGTGAATATTTAGGTGACTATGTGGCTGTTCCTGAGACAAATGATACAAGATCTCTTTGCATCTTTCACAGCCGACTAGTGTTTCAGTCACAGACAAACTAGAAGGCTGCAGTTGTTCAGTTTTCCCTGAAATCAGGGAGTTTCAGTACTCAGTTGGGGCAGAAAGTGATGCAGGATCTCATCTTGCAGAGAGTCATGGGCAAGTAGGCAGAGCCAGGAGCAAGAGTCAACAAGGTCACCTTGAAACTCATGATGACCTTCCCCAAAACTCAAATGGAAATCTTTTTCAGGGAGCAGAGCTTGCAGGCATGAAATGGGCTGTGCACAAAAGGGAGGATGTTGATATGCCACTTGATCTATGGACCGTGATTTTCTGGTCAGAATCAAAGGAGGAGCTCCCACCCTCATGGGGCTCTCTGTCCATCACCCAAACCAGTTAACAAAAACGGGTAGGAAAAAACCAAACACTTCCAACCTGGAATGGTTGGGACAGTTTTACAGACCAGAATTGGCATCTTAGTAGACCCTCTATTTTGATTTATTAGTAGATTATTGAGATTGCCATTGCGTAGTCCAAAATAAACTAATCTCTAAGCAGCCACATAGCTACATGCACTGCTCTATTGGTTCAACAGGTTGCATGAGCTGGTGCAGGTCTCTCAGGTGGATAGGGACTGCATCACTTCCACAGGATCACAGGGGGAAGAAAAGACTCATAGAAACGCAAAGAGTAAATTGCTAAAATAAAAGAACAAGGGAGAACGGGTATTCTGTTAGAACAAGAGAAACACAAATCCTTGTGATCTAGAATGTCAGTGGGCCGGAAAAGAATAAAAATCCAAACAAATTTCTGATAAAACTGGCAACATCTTAAGAAAAAAAAAAAAAAGGAGTCAAGGAAAAGACCAGCGAAGATTGCAGAATATGTTATTATTAAATTTCTTCCCTTGGGTGCTCTTCTGACATACCATGATCCACCATTAAGGAATGAGCTCATTCCTAAGTATGTGGCTTAGGTGAAGACCTCTTTATGGCGAATTATTAAAAGAGAAAGCTTCACTGCTCACAGCCCCAGGTTTTGTCTTTCCATCCTTGCCTCTGATACACTTCACTCATCACTTCATCACGCTTGCCCTTGCTGCCCACCCCAGGAGAGCTCCAGCATGGAGATGTGCGAAGCGATGCCCTCCCTTTCAGGGATGTCACCTGCAGAGCGAGGCAGCCCCAGCACCCACAGCTTCCCCTCCTGACTCAGTAGCCGGGTTGTCCTTGTTGCATGGGGCTTTGACGCAGAGCAGAAGAGCAGGGGATACTAGATGTGCTCTGATGCTGATCTGGTTAAAACCCCTATGATGAACGTGCTCTGTCAAAAATAATTGGATCTCTCCTACGATAAGCTATGAATAGCAGGACTTTTATTATTATTAAATAATATTAATGAAGATGATGAATGGCCGGAATCTGTCTAGTCATGATCTCAAATTGTTTAAGTACCCAAGAGCAGAAAATGAGCTCTGTTTCTGGGAAATGGTTCTGCATTTCTCCAAGCATTAACTGCTAAAATAATTAAGAACCCCTACATTTTAACAAGATTTTGCTCTTGAGCAGGACTTAAATCTTTAAGAACAGCCTTTTGCAATCTGGTCCAAATGTGGTCTTTGAGTATATCCAGCTACCGCAGAGTCAGCAAGCAGATGCTCTGGGAGGCAAGCAAGAAGCAGGGCTGTGTAGAAGGACTCTCCTGCAGTAAATGGTGCTGCCTTCTACTTGCTGGGCCTTTCTTGCACCAAGTGCTTGAACAAAATAAAGAAAATGAGTGTAGAGGGCTGGTACACCTTGCCGTAAGTGAGCATGGCTCCATTTTAAGAAAAATCTGGTCACTGGGTTTTATTGGTGCTTCCAGCTGCAGATGCAAACATGCAGAAAGCAGCAGTGGCAATGATGAATGCTGGCCTAGTGCTTCAGCTGGTCAAAAGTGAGTGTCACTACTGATTAGCAGCCTTATGACAAACAAGAAGGAAGGAATTTGGGGGAATTAATCTAGATGCACAATAGCATTAGGAGTTGCAGGCTGGGAAGTTAAATAAAAGATAAGATAAATATAAGATAGGATATAATAAGATAAAATATAAGATAAAAGAAAAAATTAGACCTGAACCTTTCTACAGAATCCCTGATGCAGTGATATATTTCATTCTCCTTTTCATCTCCATGTCAGTTCTGATAAAGTGAAGAACTGGATCTGTTGTTGCAGACATGACTCACACCACTTCCCGGGAGGTGCTGCTGTCCAGGTTCTCCTTTCTGTTCCCATGAAACCCCAGCACTGGAGTGAAAATGGAGCACTCCACTGAACAACTACCTAAGCTCTCCGCAGCCACCATTAAGTCATTCAGTGAGAGCAGAACCTTAATTTAACTTTGCACTCCGACCAAGGTCAGACATCTCAGTGTCTTCCTAGAGAAGGTGTAATTTTTAATGATGCCAGGCTGAAGTAGGTCCCTTTACCCTCTGGTTGCTTCAACTAACTTTATACTCCAAAGCTCTCAACTTAAACAAAGAGCCAGGGTTTTGTGACCACTTTTCCAGAAATAAGGAGGACACTTTATATCAACAGGATGCTTATTAGCAGCATAATCTTGGAAGGGGATTTGAAGATCTCCACTCTGTAGCTTCATAACTGAAACCAAGTTCTTCCTTTATTTACACACTAATTCCACTATTCTTGTGCAATGAGTAAGCCAAAACTTGCCTGAGAGTTCTTCATGCTGATTCGTTTTTCCAGAGAGCCACTTTAAAAAAGCATTGTTGCAACAAGGATTATAAACTGTGATACACTTTTTTTGTTTATAATAAATGATAAGAATAATAACTGCTGTTATAATTTAACTATAAGGTAAATGCAAACCTGTAAGAATACATTGTATGCTGAATATTAATATATAAATAATTTCTAAATGTAAATGGCATAACGAATATATTTATTGTTAGCTATTTGTAGTGCAGGAGCATGCTGGGGCATGCAGGAAGCTTGGTGGTGAAGGAGAGTCCTGTCAGGATAGTCTCTGGGCTGAACCCGCCCAGTGCTGTTGCCCCATCTGTGTTTCCTGCTCAGCTCGGGACATGCACCAGCTTCTGCACTAGCACTCCCAGCTTTACAAGAATTTGCTTTCTGCACAGGCCAGGCTCACAGCAAAGCCTGGCATTTTAGCAAAGGAGATGAGAAAATTGCTTGTGTCACTCTGAAGTCTTCTGGTTTAGGAGGCTCTGCCTCCGACGCTCCTGCCCTTCCTCCTATACGACAGGAGCTGAACTGAGTAAGGCTGAGCAATTTCTCATCGGTTTAAATGGGAGCAGAGGTAAACCAGCAAGGCTTTGCTCAGCAGAACTAATTCCTTGGAGAAGGCTGTGGCATACTTGGCTTAGCAGACTGGTCTCTGTTTCATGCTGTATTTGAAAACTCAGTGTGTGAGGAGCTATGTGGTTGCTTCCACAAACAAACCTACAGCCAGATGAGCAAAGATCAGGGAAAAGTGGCCCTGAGAGAGATTAGAGACTCTGAGGCTGTATAAAATTATGGGATTTGCTTTGAATAGACACAGGCTGCCTATTTGTGTGCACTGCCTCACTTATGACTTATGGTCACTTCCTAACTTCCACAGCAGTCTCTGGGAGATCTCTGCTCTCCTGTATCCAGATAGTCTATAGTTTTCAACCAAGCAATTCTGAATCATCCTTTAGATCACACATCAATGTTCTTTTATGTCATTTATTAACCTAGAGAGAGCTGCTCCATCCTCTCAATCATCTGAAGATACTTTGCTTGGGAGCTCTGCTGCAGAACGGAGTGTTTGCCATATGTGCTCAAGAGCTCCCTGTACACTGAGATCCTATAACAGAAACTTTCTTTTTCCAAATTGGAATTTGTCTTTATACATTGTGCCATAGTAGATCTTATGCTAATCGTTATGATCTGACCAATTCTTTCTGAAATTTACAGGATAAAAGAAATGATGAAAATGCTACCCTTTCTCCAAAGTGGTCCTATTGGAATACGCAAAGACTCAAAGGATTGCATTGAGGAAAATAGGCAACTTGGAAATCCTTCAACATCCATATCTGGGCAAGTTTCAGTTTGCCCTGAAGACTGGTCCAAAAGTTATGTAAAAACAAGTGAAAAGCAAGAGGCAACCTGCAGACACTCACGTACATCTTCCATCGCAAGCAATGGGAGCTGTGCCTCTTCTGGGGAGATTCCTGAAAAGGGGAAGAAAGGACTGATAGGAATCCTTAAGAGTGCTCTTAAGAAGAAGAAGGACTCCAAGCCACTCAGCAGTAAGTGTTGGATCTTCCTTTCTAACACCCTGAAGATGTAGTTATCCATAGAACAGCTGCATAAGGTAGAGAAGACTTGTCTTCCTCAAAGAGTCTAGGGATACATGAACTGAGGGATGGTGACCTCAAATCCTTGGTCACTAGGCTGTTCTTTGTCGCCTTCACCAAGGAACAGCAGCTTTGCATGTCTTCTGTCCAAAATGAGTCTTACTTGCTCCTCTGATACCAGGGGACATAGAAAGATAGAGAAACACCTGTCCATGGAAACCAAGAGCTGTGCAGAACTCTGTGGTTCACCCAAGCCTCACTTGCCCCTTCAGGTGATCCATATTGCCTGTTCACAGACATAGCAAGCCATAGTTTATCCTAAGTCCAGTTTCTGTTTGTACCTCCTTTACCGGAATGCTGTCCCAAGGACTCATTGTTTTAGCACAAAATATTTCCATTCTAGACAAGCCTATTCCTGGCTGATTTAGATCTATGTCTGCTTGTACCAACCATAACCGGTGCTTTTCTGAGCATATATTCCAAGGGATGTATTTATCCTCCTCAGTCTCTATTTTTGTCAGCTAAATGACAAAGCCTCCTCAAGGCAGCCTCTTTTTGCCTTTGTTCTGACCACTACACTGTGCCATTTCCACTGTCTCTTTTTCGAAATGAAGCACTCCGAATTTAGAAAATCTTGCAGGTAGGATGTCACCAGCACCTGACGCAGCAAAGTTTCCATTTTGCTGTCTTTGCTGGCTATCTCTCTGTGGATATGTCTTGGAATCATTTCTGACATTTTCACCATCAGCTTGTGGTGGAGGCACTTTCTTCCTCCTTCATTTCCAACTAGTACATGTACAGCTTGCAGCAGAAAATCTTACCTGTTGCTGGGTAACTTTTATCCTATTACATTTGCGTATTGTGCTTTGTGCTATTAAATTTCAGTCCACCCACTCATCAAGCGTATATCCTGTATAACACAACAAGCCCTGAGTTTCGATAAAAACACTGAATTCTGTGTGATCAGCAGCTGTCAACAGGGCACACCCAGCTTTTGTTTTGCAGTCACAAAGGTGAATACTAAGTAAGATTAGTTCTATGATTAATGTAACCCTTCTGCACCTACGGGTTTTAATAGATACCCCCCATTCTTGCAAACATAACAAAAACTGATTTGGGGCCATAATTTCTCCTGTTAGCTAATAATTTCCCAGATCACATCATAGGAACTGACAGGTTGTAGGTCTGATAGGATAGCTCAGTTGTATCTATCTTGCCCATTAAATGAGTCATCCAAAAATTTCACAGGTTATGTCATGTCAACCCACTTCTGGAAAACCCATGTGGTATTTCCTCTAGAACTTGTTATTTAGTTATATTACTCTTCCCACGTACATTTTTTTTTTCTAAAACCTTGCTTATTATCTGAAGTCTTGAAGTTTAGATATCACATTTGGTAGATGCTAATGTCTTCTTCACTGTGATAGACCTGGACTTGAATTGAATGTACAATTTCTTTCAATACTTTGGAATAATTATGTATTACCTATTGCTTTGTTATATTTGGCAAATGTTAATGTAAGTTGGTTTGGATTATCCTCATTTTGCTGCAACCCTATTGTCTTCAAGATGATACCGAATAATTCTGTTTTGGCCCTAATCATAGAAATACCATAAATAAAGAAGATTAAAATATTTTTCCCCTGTGTTCAGAACTGCAGCATATTACCACAGAGTTTATCTGTGCTAACCAGCCTTTTCTCTTAGTCATAACCCCCAAAAGCCACTTCCATGATAAAAATGCTGTTAATAAATCCTGAGGACTCTTCTTTCAATACAAGTGATCCACATGCCAGTTATTTTAGCTATTTTGCTCTGCTTTCCTCGGTCCATGCACCAAATTCCTGTGGTTACTAGCAGGGAAGGCAATGAGCAAACGCACTGTCCTCGCAGGCCTTCTTTAATGGCAATGCAGGCAACTGCTCCAGTGTCTGGAGACATTCCCTGGAGATTTTTTCTCTCCATCTGCTCTGCTGTAAGTAACAATTACATATATTAGCATTATGGAAACATAAGCATAAAGAAAACAGTAATCCAGAGCCATCATTTTATATAAAACAGAAATGTAAAGCTTTGATATTAAGTAAAGAAAGGTTGTTCTTTTTTTCCCCAGTAAAACAAATCATGGAACTCATTGAAGAGAATAAGTTTTCTGATGCTTCCCAGCACCTGATTGTCCTAGAAAAGAGTCTTTCTATCAGAAGTGATGAGGAGTTGAAAATCAGACAGCAAGACATCGAAGCCATCTATGAAATTCTGAAGAGCAAAGTCTTTGACATCTTGAAAGAATCTATACTTCTAGCAGCAGTAAAACCAGATTTATTGCAGCAAGCAGTAGATGCATTAAAAGAACTGGAGAAAGAAGATCAGAATTACTTGTCAGAGGATCCACTTGACCAAAACAGGCAATCTAGACCTAGAAAATGGAAGGAGATTTGGATGGCTACAGTGAAGGAGTCTGTAGAGACTCGAATGAAAGATACCCATCGTACTCCAACAACTGAGAACCTCTCTACAGCTGGCCAAAATCTCCTGCACATGGGGAGGACAATGAAAGAGGATTTGACAGTAGTAGTGCAGCGCATTAAGCAGCTTTATCCTCCTGACTTTAACGTGTGCGGCACATATGCAGAATTCTACCACAATTATTTTGCTTCCCAGCTGAAGAAAACTGCTGAATCTCAGCTGGAAGACAAGGATATTTACCTTCTCCTTTCATGGGTGCACAACATTTATCCAAAGTAAGTGACACTTTTACATTCATGTTTATCTCTGGCGAGCAACAGCTTCACTGGCTGCAAAAGCTACACATTTTCTTGATTTATGAGTTGCACTTCAGTGCAGCTAGGTGTTGTGCAGATTTACAGCAGCTAGGCATGGTGGTTGGAAGACATTTTATTCAGACTGTTATTCTTTAAACCAATGTCTCCCAACATCAAGCAGGCTTCTGAGCAGTTGTCATACATGCAGATGGTTAGAGCTTCACTTGTGGGATAACTTGGACAGGTCCAGAAATTTGCGGACCTGAACTCATTCTTAGAAAACTTAGAAACTTAAGCTTTCTGGCTTGTTGGAGCCAATAAATAACAATCTGAGAAGTAATTATCCTGGGGACAAGGGAGTTTGCTTAGGCATTATTCACGGGCTGTACTTTCTGTGGGATAAAAAGACCAAAGAGTGGATCCCTGTAATAGGACATATCAAACAAGGGCTGCTTTTCAGCCATACAACTACTGTATGTTGTAAAAATGAAAAATATTGCTGTTGCTTAATATACTGGATGTAAAATTAAGGTGTCTCATTTCTGATATGAAAATCTGTAGATATGTGTGCAGTGTTTCTTACGCTGTTTAAAGGCCATTAAACCTTTGCCTGAGCTTATTTTCCTCTTGTTCCACTGTCAGTAGATAATGAGCTTTGATCCTGGATTTTCTGCAGAGCCGATGTTTTGCTCTAGTTCAGGAAGTCAATGAGCTAATTGCAAATTGGACAATATTTTAGTAGCAGAATCATCATTCTGTAGTCAGTGAAGTCATGCCTTGACATTCTGAGAAAACTGAGTTATTTATATCTGCAATGTTCAAAAAGAAAAGAAAAAAAACCTGACGCACTCATATAATTATCTGGGGGGATCATGATGCACTGCAAAAGGCAACACCCTTTGCTCAGAAATCTCCTGGCCAAAGGATCCCCTTGTACAAGTTGGAGGGTGACTTTCTTCTGGGAGCAGCAAGAACTTTTAGTTCTTAAGTGCATAAGGCCGTGGTTCTCAGGAGGAAAAGCCCTTACTCAGTTACATAGCCACATACATCATACATCACAGAGTTTCCTCCTATCACACCAGGGTAAGGAAAGATTTGGCCTAGAGCATGTTTGGAAAACAGTAGCTACGCTGAGCGGAACCTAACCCGAGGATTGCAGTATTGTCCTTGGGACAGAATTGGCCAGGTCAGTGGCTATTTCTCAGCCTGTTCCTAGAAGCAGCATCCAGATGTCTACTTGTACATTCAAGGAGCCTCTCTCTCAATGATCTGGATAAAAAAGAGAAGAAGTAAGAAGGAAGGAAGGGCTCAGGGGCACAAAGACCTGCTTGAGATTCCAGCGTTTGCCTTGAGAACAGCCCATGTCTGGGAAGTACAGCAGTATATTCACAATCAGCTGGATCACGCGTAAACATAGAAATCAGGCAATACTCAAAATTATTCCATGCAGCTCAGTTGGGATAAGCAATTTCCAAGTAATCCTCTCTTGAGCTTTGGCCTGAACTCCTCCATGGTTGGCAGAGCCCTTCACGATCTGCTCTGTGCCACCAGTTTTCCCCCAAGACACCTCCACAGCACCCAGGTCAGCCAACATTGCATGGGGAAATAACAGCAGGATGTTAAATGTACAACCACCCACTCCTTCCTCACACATGCGCCATAAGAAGCCCATGTCAATGAAGCCACTATCAATAAGGAAAGGCATCCTGGGGGTTGTTGCTCCCTCCCATTGCTCTGAACCCCCCATTGCCACTGGAGTGCGATGCGTGACTCTTCTCTGGGCTTGCTCAGTCTCCTACCCTCACTTCCAGCACAGTTTCCTCTCTTGCAAGCCCTGTCTTGACTAAGGACAATGTACTTTTCCATCTGGTTTTCACTGATGTCCTCTAAAAGTATTGCTCATTTGCATCAACAGCTGTCTTGAATTACATTGCCCCTGGAAAATGTGACCATTTGGCTTTTTCATTCCAGTGACATAAGAAAAGATCGTGTTTTAGCAGAGGAGCTGGGAAAAGTTAAGCTTGGAAGCCTTTTGCCATCAAGTCTGGTCAAAGAGCTTGAAAAGAAATACCTTGGCAGTGAAGAGGTGAGAATCTGTTCAGGGCCCCCTTCTCCCTTGCCTGCTCTTGTGTGACTCTCAACCCACAGAGCAGCTCAAACTTGTCCTGAATGCACAATTCTCTGCTGTCTGTGTAGTCCCCTTGCCCTTCTGGACAGACAAAAAAAAAAAAGCAAGAATGTTTTTGTTTCTTTTTGGAAAACAAAGCAGCCTTCTGCTAGACTGGACTTGCAGAATGAGCTCCCTGCTGCCTTTGGGCTAACCCAGGCTCATGTCCTTGGGGACATCAGAAAATAATTACTCTGTTCTTGTAAACCTTGTGTCAGGAAGGGAGGTGGAAATCAAACTACAAATCTTTATGGGTAACTTTCCAGCTGACTGTTATGGCCCCAGAGGGGGCTAAAACTCATTCTTACAGACGATGGATTCAGTATTACTTCTGGCCTTTGCAGCCACACCAGGAACAAATCATACCCAGACCTTAGGAGAGTGCAAATGTGTACAGTCACACCTTGCAAATCCATCGCATTGATGAAAAATCACCTGTTTGCAGAGGATCATAGTTTCTATAATTTTTGGACTCTTCCATTAATGAACACAAGAAGTGACCTTACAATATTCTCAAAGCTTAATATTTTAGATGCCTCAAAACTTCAGGCTAAAACCCTGGAAAATTAGAAATTCCATGTTTAAATCTAGTTTAATATAGCTTGTAGATGGGAGAGAGAGATGTAAGAGCTGCTACTTTGAAATATTCCATTCAGTCAGCAATGATGTGATGTCCTATGTCCTTGCTGCTCTGCTGGGCTATGAAGTGATGAGGTTGAAACCACCACAGATGCCTTTCTCATGGCCATATTGGAGTGTAGTGATGCCTCAAAACACACCTACCTCCTCTTGACCCTGCCTGGGGCAACCTGGAGATTCTAGTAAATGCAAATAAAGTAAATCTGGTCCTCAACAAACTCAAGTGAGACTGGGAGGTGTCACAACACGAAAAGTAAAGCTCTTCTTCCATCCACACAGGAAGAGAGCTGACAGGCAGAAGTGCAGAGCTCGCACATTTGCAGGAGATTTGGGTTTTGTTTATTTGAATTAAGTACCTCTGAGTCCGACAGAGGCATCTCTTAACAGAGAGTCTGCTGGGACAGAGGAAAAAGGTCTACTGAGCCAGACAAATGATAGGTGGCTGAGAAAAACAGTCTGCACAAACAGAAGGCAGGAACTGTTATATCCCATTTGTGGTAAATGCTGTTGTTCTTTCTTCCCTAAAGGCTGCTGTCAAAAATTGTCTAGGTAGATGTTTAGAAATGGAAATCCAAAGATGGAAAGGAGATCAAGAACCCGAAAAACTTGATGGCCATTTTCACAGTGAATTAGCAATACTTGCTATCCAGGTAATGTGACCTTTTGTTATGAAAAGAGAATTGCACCCTATATGTGTTTAGCATTTGAGACGAATTGCAGTCAGTTTGGGATACCCTACCTCTCTCATTAAAAGGTAGACAAGGAAATATCTTGGGAAATCTTACATAATCCCCTCATCGTGATGTGGCAGTACTTTGTAAATGCCAGTGGATTCACGGTCTTGTCTATGCAGCCCACTGAACCCATCCTCTCCATCCACGGTGCAAAGACAAATGGAAGAATTGTAGCTCCAGAACTGCCTTTTGGGAGTGTGAGGCATTTGAAACTGTGCTTTTTTTGCTTACTAGAATGTCTATGGAGGGCAGAAGCGAGCTGATGATCTCAGCGCTGCGTTGGGTGAAGAGATAGCACCTTGTCTGTCAAGGGAGCTGGCCACCTTTCTGAGAAGGTATGGTAAGACTGCACTAGGTGACCCTACTCGAGCAGGAGGGTTGGAATAGATGATGTCTAGAGGTCCCTGCCAACCTCAAACATTCTGTGATTCCATGAAAGCATTCTGGGGGAACTGATGAGAAGTTGCTCACCCTCCTCTTCCCATCTCCCCTCTAGCTACAAGGACGCTTTTGAGGAATTCAAAGAGAAGAGCAAGAAGCAGAAGTTCTACAAGCCTATCCTGATGGCAAACGTTAACAACTGCCAACATTTTAGGTAAGAGTTCTAAAGGAAAGCTCGGTGCTCCTTACTGTGCTCGGGAGCTCATCGCATGCAGATGTTGCAGAGCGGGAAGAGGAGGAGGCTCACTCTACTGGCAGAGGAAGGCTTGGAGTCCGGCCCCTCCATGCCCTGGCTCGCCTTGGCCAGCTGCCCATGTCTGCAGCACGAGAGATGCTCCCAGCAGCTCAGCAATGAGCCTGCACAGTCCTCAGGTCCTCTGTGGGGTGACAGCACTCGCAGTTATCACATTCAGGATCGCCAGGGCCAGGGTTGTGTTGACTTTAGAAGTCATGTCATTTTAAGTTAAAGGAAGAGATTACTTAAGTTTCTCTGAATTTCTCTTTCTTTCTCTCTCCCCCTTTTTTTTTCCCTGGGATTTGGAAACAAATTATGCTGACCTTGTTGATATTTTCTTTCAGAAACTACACAGAGAAAAACATAGCTGAAAAGGATGATAACAAAGCCAGTATTCTCAGCACACTCAGTGACATTGAAAACAGCGGCTTTGACGTCCTGCTCCAACAACTGTTTGCAGAGCTGAAGGTGCCGTGTCTGCATAGACATATATAACACACATAAGAATGCTAATTGCATGTGCACATAGGGCTTACTTTGAGGAAACTCATCAGATTTTCACTTTTTTTAGCCAATTTATAAGAAGTTTACAGAAAACAAGTGGGATTCCAGTGATGAAATTATGAATGCAATCATTAAAACAACAGGAAAATATATTTCAGACTTCCAGAGCCTAAATGACCCTTCTTACAAGGTAAGGCACAGAGAAATACAGGAGCAGTTTTAGGAATCTAACCTGGGGTTTTCAACTCTGATCCTCTGCAACTCAAGATACCTTGACCTGGCTTGAGCTGCCAAGCCCTCATGCTGTCAGATAGTCTTCTCAAGTGTTTTTTTAAATAATTTAGTGTGATTCACATGCATTTTACCCAGATTATCCATATGAATGTTAGTCTTTTCCAGCAAAGGCAGACATGTGATTCTGCTACAGTGCAAAAGCAGAGAAAAATTCCCCTACCGTAGAAAAAAGGCAGACAAAATATGTTTTTATTCATGTATGGGTTTGATTTGGCAATTCTGAAGCACCAATGAAATCACACAATTTTGTATTAAGCTATTTTGATTGCCCTAAGGACTGGAGGACATGGATGTAATAGGGGAAAATCCCAAATAACTTAGCAACAACTACATATTTTAATGCTACCAGAACATATGTGAAACATCACCACATTAAAAATGTTTGCTTTCCTGAATGTGTCTTTTTAGGAGTTGAATTAGAATAGTGGTGTTTTGTGTATTAGAGAGAAGAGGAGGATCAGAATGAATTCCCTTTTCTCTGGAGTACTGTTGCTTCTTCTGTAACACATAGAACTTTTCTCAGTTTAAAACTTTTCCCAGAAGAAAACAATATTTGAAAATTCCCACACTTCATTGCTTTGAGTAGAAAGAATTTTTCAGTATCTAAGATGCCCCTTAACAAGCTGTAGGGAAGCTGGGCCTGGGTGCAGTTCTCCAAGTGCAGTCACCAGCAAGGATTTGGATTCAATGATTTGGATCCAAGCAAGGATTCATCTACACAATTAATCGTGCTCCCAAGAAAAGCTGGGTGGACAATCCACTCTCTCCCTATACTTATCCCAAATGCCCATGCTGCATTTCTTTATTACCCATCAAAACAGTATTTCTTTATTACCCATCAAAACAGTATCTGATCAAGTTACATTATATTACCCATTAGGCTATTGCACATCAGAAGCTCAGAAATATTTTCCTTTTCCATCTTGCCTTCCCTCTGTGGGCTCCCCTGCCTCCTGTGCCCCTCTGGCCCCACACAGAGAACATCCTACCAGCCTCCAGTCCCCTGGATGCATAGATGGAGTCCGTTCCTAGATGGTGTATTCCCAATTCCACATCCACCCAGCAGCACAGCAGGCCATGGAGCTGGCAAGGGGCACTCCTCCAAACCTCCACTCTCCTCCAAACCACTCTGCAGCACTTTCTTCCATGCACCCCTATCCCTTGACTATCTTCCAGGTGAATGCTGATATTCCTGCATCCAGGCATACCCTTCTGTGCATATGGCCCCAGCAAACCAAATGCTGTTTCCTTTCCAACAGGCTATTGTAGAAAAAGTCCATGTCCATTTGGTTAAAGAGTACATTGTGAGGCTGCTGAAGAGAAGAGTCAGCCTGAAAAGCCCAGTGCAACAGCAAAACCTGGCACAAAACATCTCCAAGAACGCTGCTGCCCTGGAAGCCTTCTGCACCAGCAATGTACGTGAGTGCTCCCTGCCTCCACGCTCACACACCGAGGGAAACAGAGGAAGAGATTTTCTGCAGCCTCTCTTTGACCTTTCCAATGTGGTTTAATTTGCTGGAAAAACACTAGACAGAAAGAGCTTTCCCAGTGCCAAGCCTGTGGGGAGGGAGGTTCCCACACCAACAGCCTGCTCTCCTCCAGAAGCAGAGCACTGATCTCCCCCTCCTTGCTCTTGTAAGGTTTGCTTCCTTTCACAAATGTATATAAAAAGGGATGCAGGAATTAGCCAAATACTGAGCTTCTCTGGTTTCAGTACAACTTGCATGGAGGCTGGTTTTTGACTCCTTCCCATCACTCTTGTCCTTTTTTTTTCCACTTTTAGGTCAAACAAGGGGTAGAAAGGCCATCTTGGGAATATCTGGAATGCAAGGGTTTCCTTCATCTTAGCCCGTTGTGTCCTCTGAAATCATCTTCCTCCTTTCATGTCTTTAAATTTCTTGATGAAAAAACTAAGCCAAGCCTCATCTTCCCCCACCCCACACACATTTCACAGGAGAAGGAATAGCAAGTCTAAGCTAGAGTCAGTGTGGGCAGGAGGCTAAGGCCCCATCTCACAGGAGTATCCAACAGGCAGGGTCCAAGTGGAGCTTTTATCAGGGTTGACAGCAAAAGGATTTTGGCAATATCTAAAAGCTAAAGACAGGGTTGTATCCAGCTCTGGGAGAAAGCAGGCACTTGTTAGGTGCATTATCTTGCACGTCTGTGTCATGCATCCCCTGGGGCTGCAGCCAGCACGGATACCTGGGGGAAGGGTAACATGAGGGTAAATGTTTTGTGAGTGAAGGGAAGAGAGGGTCTGTCCAGGTGAATGCGGAGGCCTCAACCTTAAGTTAAAAGTGAACTCCTCCCCAGCTGTAGGAGAAGATTAAAAATAACAGACCAACTCACCTAGCTTCTTCAAGGCCAGCTGGGGAGAGCCCTAGCTAGAACTGCCATTCAAAACAACAGGGCTTATAAAATCTCTCTTGCATCCTTCTCCACTCATCAGGACACATCATCAGAAACTGCCCCCGCAGCACTACCAGTTAAACACAGTTCCTGGGGCTGTGTGGAGGCCTTGGGCCTCTGCTGGCCCGTACAAGGCCACTCTGACTTCTTTCTTCTCTGGCAGGGATCTCAAGCCTCATGGTTGAATTCTGCACTCCCCAAACTCGCTGAAATAATCCGACTTCAAGATTCGGGTGCTATTAAAATTGAAGTTGCAACACTTGCCACAGTGTACCCAGACATTCGGTAAGAGAAGCTGTATCAGATTTGCAAATATTAATACAGAATTTTATCTGAGCCTTGGAACAGTTAAATATTGAAGTGAATGAGATGCACATACCCTAAGTTCTGATATAGTGAGGTAATGCTCATCTCTACTAGATGACTGCCAAGTAAGTAACCAATGCCCTTTTAGGTGGGTATGTCTCCTTCCATGCTGTTTTCCCTAAATGTTTATTTCCCAAAGCTTATAATGTCCTTACCTTGCCCCAGGCAGAAGGGGTGGGGGCCCACCTGCCAAGTCGTAATAATTCCAACACCATTAGACAAAACCAAAAACTGCCCTTTTTAAAAAAAAAAATGTTCTATATTTGGGGCTTATTCCCTCCTTTGCCTTGGAGATTCCCTGTCCTACCCCCAAAGCTCCCGGGATAGACCTGGTGCCTCCAAAAGATAATTAACCAGATGCCAAGTTGGTGTCAGCACTTGGGCCCTCAGGGTAGCTCTCAGCCTGGCTGTAAGGACCAATTTGCTGATGCAGAAAGCTGCAGAAGTTAACACCTGCCAATATCTCTTCAACAGCAAAAGGCACCTTGAAGCTTTCCTGCACATCAAGGCGAATTTGACACGTGGTGAACTAAAAAGCATCCTGAACTACTTGGCAGATAGCACGGCATCCTCACCTCCAAGTGCACCGTTGTTCTCTAATATAAATGTGTCCTAGGCCAAAGGCAGCCCTTGGCATCCTTACTGTACAGGATGGTATAGCTAAGCTAGTGAAAGCCCCCCAGGGGCAGGGATGGAGACAGTCCCTTGGAGCAATGCTATGCATAGCGTTCACTGCCATATTTTCCTACGGAAAGTATTTTATTCTAACTTGGTGCTCAGCATCTCTACAGAAAGCGTCATTTTCCATGAACAACTGTGAGAAGGTGAGATCCAGCCATGGGAACATAACTTGATGCCTCACTGCCAAGGATTGCTCCTTGCACTGGCCACAGACTCCCTCCAAGGTCTTGGGAATGTGCTGCCACTTTCTCCATCTGGAAATTGGCCTGATACGCTTCCATCTGACTACCTCACCAGAGTGCTGCAAAGGCTGTTTTGCCAGCTCCCCAGTTATCCTAGGGACACCTCCCGCATTGCTTGGTCACTCTTGAGGAGAGAGCTCTTTTCTGGGAGGGAAAAAATACAAAGACAAAATACAGATGGAACCCCATTTGAGGGACTGGAGAGGAGCTGTAGCTCAGACAGCCTTGGATTCCTGTAGTCCTGCTGGGCACCAGCAGCTCCAAGGATTTGGGGTTGGCCACAGCCCTGGCTTCACAACCATCACACATGGGGCATTGCCCAGGGGCCTCAGCGGGGGTTAACTAGTACCGGATTCCATTAAAATGTTTTGAGCTCTCTGTACATATCACCTCGGTTGCTCTTTCCCCTGTTCCTGTGAGATGGATTAGATGTGAAAACATGAATGGGTGTCTGTTTTGAAACTACGTATTGTTTTTACAGGAAGGGAATTACTTGCCAAAATGAGATTGTGTTTAGCTGAGGACTTTTCTCTTTGTTTTTCTTTATTTCAGCTTCTGTATCTGTTTGTAGAAAGTTAGTCCAGAAGGAAGATGCATAATGACTGTGCAAACCATGTAATGTTATATGCATATGTAAACCATGCCACTTTTAATGTTCCTTGTTTATACCACACTTGAGTTTCTATTCCTAGCCTTTGGCTGTATATCCATAGATAGGCGTATATCATTGGTGTATTTTTGCATCCAATTTTATTTTCTCTCAGTAAGAGATCTTCATTTGCAATGTTTATATTTAAACAGTATTCAAATCTGCTAAAAAATGTTTTACGTCATTTATTACGTCTCTGGCTGTTGTTTATTGCTACATGCAATCGTGCATAACCCTGCAAAGAGCCAGTTCTTCCACGACTTCCAGTCTGCTCTGTGTTAGGCTGACGAATGTCACCCTCCTGCACCCAAGGGTGCAGAGGGTATTGCTGGGGAAGCAATGGCACGTTGTCTTTGTACTGCCTATGGGACCCATAGCTCGGCTTTCCATTCTCTTTAGAGCAGCTGTCATATTCACAGTATTTATGGTATCTGGTGCAATGAGGCCCAAAGTACCAGCCTCTAGGCACTACCACAGAATTGATGTTGAATAACAAAAAAAAAAAAACTTGAGATGCATCTCATCCTTAGTGCTCAGGCATGTTGCTTGTTCCATCTCTGGTTTCTGTTCCTGTTGTTACAAGTTTTTAGGAAATTTGCTGCTGTGCTCAGTAAGGCATTTGCTGACAGGTACCGACAGTCAGAGACTCCTCACTAGCAGTGTCCAGTTGCCTGAACAGGCTGTGAAAGGAAGTCCTTTGCAAGAGGTTTTAGGACGTAATTATAAGTTGTGTGAAACAGTACTTTGGTTTCAGTTTGCTGCCTGATAATGGGGAGCGCAAATCTCACACGTTCTCACACATGCACACATATACACATAATTTAAACAGAGCTTAAACACAACTTAACACAACTTAACACAACTACGATTTAAAGTCAAAAGCCAAAATGATTTTAATCAGCAGTACTGAGCACTCATGAGAACTGTCACTTGTTATGCAACATTTTCCTTCCCAATTAGTAAAAGGTCAAGGTGTTGCTATAAATAATTACCTCTTGATTTAGAGGTCTTTTACCGGGTTAGAGAAATATATCACACAAGTGACTATGCTAGCTTTAAAGGAAAAAAGGATTCAAACTAAGTAAATGCTTGAAGAAAAGTAGTAAATCTGTTTACATGTCATCTCAATTAGCATGACAAGAAGGAAATACTCTTTTCATAAGCCGTGTATAACTGTGCTGAGCAATTCTTTTCATCTTGCCATAAAAACTTTAGCTTTCAGTTTTAATGAGCCCAGGAAACTAATTTATTTATCTTCCTGTGTGATTCAATGTTTGCAATAGCATTTATTTATATGTAGCATATTCCACATAGCCAGGTACCTTCAGGAAGATGCATAAATAGCTTGCAATATTTATGCTAAAGTAATACTGATAAACTGCACTCCTATAAGCTCACTAAATAAAATATTCTGTGGTCAGCGTGTCTGGATTTCTTCATTGCACAGCTGCTGATGTTGATCTTTGCCCCTACGTAGTGGCATAGTAGATAGCAAAGATGAATGAAATTGTATTAGCCCTGTAAAATAACTGGGAAAGTTGGTTCATGGCCATGGTTGCCTTCGGACAGGTTGCACAGACAAGCATGGGATGCTGGATGGTGCAGCTCTGGAGTACACTGGGGGCACCCCAAAGAGCCCGCGATTAATAAGACCAGACAAAGGAAAAGTGACACCACAGACTCAAACCATAAATACGTGTGCTGGAATTCTCCTCAGAAGAATTTGTTAATGGGCACGTTGTTACCCAGGAGCAGGGTCATGGGCTGAGTAGGAGGTCACCTGCTGATGTGCACGATACTGTTGACTAGAGCTGTGCAGCCTCGGTGTAGCTGTGTGGGCTTTGTTCTCCTGGGTGTAAAATGCAGTAGGCCACGTAGCCTGGTGGGGACTTGGACCCAGAGGGCCTGTGGATCCAAGGACCCACTCATCAGCAGTGATACACCTGATATCAACAGTTTGGCGAGGGGGAACAGAGGAAAATTAGGCTGGAGGAGTGGCCCGTACAGGCAAAAGCATTTGCACCCATTGGCTTGAGAATCTGGGGAAAACTATACGGAAGGGTGAATCCTGAAAGGAGAGAGCAGGTGTTGTACTGTGGACTCATGATTTACTTGTAGCCCTCTGAAACATATGTTTTTGGTTCTAGTTCTAGCTTTACTATATTGTCAGTTTTGTTAGAACCTCTTATCTCTAATAAATTCTCACAAACATTTATCTCATAAATTCAGTGCAACTAATCTTGCAATCCCAAAGAATCCAGGCACCCCTCCGGTGGCACAACACATATTCCCAGCTCTCCAACTCCATTAGCAGCAGTTCCACACAGGACATCCTGCAGTAGAGCTCTTGCACACAAAATCCTTGCTCTCTGCCCATCCATCCCACAGGACACTTCCCATCATTTGGCAGTAGATGTGAAGCCCCAGATTGTGGGGATCACAAAGGAGCAGACAACAACCTAGAGGTCCCACGGCTTCTTCACCATTCAGAGCATCTTTTTCACAACCTTCCCAGGTGATCCTTAGATCCCCACATCTCTTTACCTTCACCAGGTGATCCTTGTTAACATCTAGTGGTTGGCCTCAGAAAATCCTTTATCCATCAAGTAATCAGCATTATTATTTTCATCCCTGGCCAACCTTTCATCCCTGTTCCTTATTCCTACACCAGATGATGCTTAGGAAATTGTTCCCCTGCCACAGGGGAAGCCTAGAAAATCAAATTGCTCCAAACCATCTGACACAGGGGACAAATCTTCCTTAACTCAAAGATCGATCAGTGCCACAACAAGGGCACAGGAACAAGCATCCCTCAGGTACCCACAAAATAATTCCTGATCCCCACAATGGCACCATGGAACATTTGGCCATTCATTTTACAGGCAGCATTTCAATGTCCAGGGAGGCTGAGAAAGAAATATTCACTCCTTGCATACTGAGAGAGTGTGAAAAGCTGAAAAATTCTGCTAAAACCTACCAAGAAATTTTTGAGTTCCCAGACATAGAAATAAAGAGCTAAGATACCAGAACACCTGAATTCCACACCCTTGAAGCCGGATCTTCTTTCCAAGATTCTCTGAGACTTTATGGCATTAGGTCAAAGGATTTACTGACATGCTGACTTAAAGAGAGGCATTCTAGACCAAAGTGCCTGATACTTTGGTAATTGTGCCTTTCTGAATGTCAACACTGTAAGTGTTAGACAAGGTCAGTGCAGTCCTTCAAATGGCTCACATCTCTCCGTGGACAGTCTCCTGGTCACCTGAATCCGGCTTTCAGCATCTTAACTCTGTTCCACACCAATCTCTGGGTGTGACAGCTGTCAAAATCCTGCTCACATAAGGTTTTGTCACACCAAATCAAAGGCCATCAGAGTAACTGCTCCCTTCTTGCATGGCTTCAGAGAGGATGTGGCCACAGCCCTCACACTGGGGCAATGTATGAACTGCTCTGTACTGTGGCAACCAAAGATCTTTTGCTTAAGCAAGGTGCAACTTGACAAAGCTGGGAAGAGCTCTGAGTATCACTTCCTGCCTCACTTGAAAAACAAGGGCAAATGCAATAAAGCAGATGCACACTTCAGGCTTGTCAGGTGCACACTGCAGGCTGGTTGATTGCTTTTTTTTAAGGCAATATACTATTGTAAAGTGAAACTTCCAAGCTGCTAGATACCATTTTCCCTTACTACCAGTAGTTTTCCTTGGAAAATACGTTAAAAAAAAATAATCCTTTTGAACTGACCAGATTGGAAGCCTTCTCTACAAACTCATCTTTCCTCTGTTCGCTGGGTCCTGTCCCCCTGGAAGTTTACAGGTTCTTCTTTCACCTTTCCAAGAGACTCATATGTTCACCCTTGAGCCTTTCCAAACCTTACCCAGTGGCATCCTTGGCTCCTGCCCTTCTAACCTTTCCATCTTCATCAGCAAGGAACACAGCAAGACACTGTCACATAACAGTATCCAGAAAGACCATCAGTTTTGGAGGAGGAAACCACTGATATTTATCTAATCTTTAATTCAAATAGGACAGACCATTTGAACTATAACAACTCTACAAAAGAGATAATGAAAGAGGAAAACAGCTTTTAAGCAAACCAGCTGAGTTCTCAAAAGTGCTCATTAATTTTGGAATGGGAAGAGATTAACCTAAAAGGGAGGAGACTAGTAGAATAATATTTGTCCTGGAGTCTTGCAAGACTTTTCCCAA